CTCTCAGCATTTTCTCAAAAAAAGCGAATTCACACCCTAACTTATTAAAACAGAAAAGCAGAGTTTACTAAGTCCCTTTTAGATTCTGAACATATTTCGTAACTTTCTACACTTTTAACTTTAAAGTAAACAACAGTTGACTTGAACTTCACCTATCAGTTAGAAAATTGGGCAACACTTTTACTATATTTTGATGATGGTAATCAATAGTATTTTGCTGAACTAACATGGGTAATAAGGACCAAATATGTAATCCAAAAAATTTATAGCCTTATTCAGAATCAACTCATTTCTAGTTTGACATTAACTTTAGATAATTGCTTTGACTACTCTAGAGCAAAAACCTAGAGCAAAATCATGGGTATGAGTAACCTAATTAATTAATCTACATTAATAGGAGAGTCTTTGCTAGTCTTTTTATCGTTTTGAAGCCAGATTAGGCATGGCATTTTTTTGTCTTACACACCTTGTACACAATTGGTGATTATAAGATTTAGGGAAATATATGTAATAATCAGGACAAGGAGCCTGGAAGATCTCTTGAGCCAAAGAGTTTGGGACCAGCATAGGGAACCTAGCAAGATTCCCCATGTTAAAAACAAACATTCAAATTGATTATAATAAAGTCAGAGGTTTTCTATCATAGCATCAAAATAAGGACAAAAGACTACATTATAGTTAATTATCTACTGTATTTGTTAAAAAATGTGACAGGAAAAATTTAGTATTAACAAGTATTATTGAATGACTAGAGGGCTTTAAATTTTTGAATTGATTTAATTATGTATTTTTATCCCTACGAATCAGGAGTTGGAAAGAGAGAGGAAATTTTGATTACTTCTGAACCTTCCCATGACAGTTTCGTGGTGTCCAAAGCTGAGAATGTGAAACTAATGCACCTATCTTTGATACAACAAGGGACAGTTGATGGTATCGTGGTGGTGGAATCTGGCCACATGACTCTGGAAAACTGTATTTTAAAATGTGAAGGAACAGGAGTGTGCGTTCTTACAGGGGCTGCTTTGACAATTACAGACAGTGAAATAACGGGTGCCCAGGTATTTCATTCTATAAAAAGTAGAGCTTTATGAGACTAGAGACAACTTTGAGCAATCTTTTATTTAACGTTATTGAAATTACTTTCAAAATATTAAGGGGTATAAACGTTATTACATGGATATATCCATAATGCTTAAGGTTTTTAGTGTGCCTGCCACCAGAAATTGCTCATTTTATCCAATAGGTAAAGTATAGGTTAAGTTTAAAATAAATATAGGTTAAGTTTTTATCCCTCACTCCCTCCCCACCCTCTCCTTTATTTTCCATGTCCTTTGTGTCTTTTTGTGCCCTTTATTTAGTTCCCACTTATTAGTGGGAATATGTGGTGTTTTTCCATTCCTGATACTTCATTTAGGATAATAGTCTCCAGTTCCATCCAACTTACTGCAAATGACATTGTTTCATTCCTTTTTATGGCTGAGTAGTACTCAATGGCATATATAGACTACATTTTCTTTATTCAGTCATATATATATGGGCATTTAGGTTGGGTCCATCTTTGCAATTGTGAATTGTGCTGCAATAAACACTCAAGTGCAGGTGCCTTTTTGATAAAATGATTTCTTTTCCTTTGGGTTGAGTGATCCTAATATATATAAACAATGGATAACTATTTCATCATCTTTGAATGGAATTATAATTAAACTTAGAAGCTGGTAGAAATCAACAAAATGAGGACAGGTACAAGAGTCATAGTGCACTTAGGAAAAGTAAACTGCCCAAGTCCTAAATAATTATTAGCTTTTTTTTTTTTTTGAGACAGAGCCTCAAGCTGTCCCCCTGGGTAGAGTGCTGTGGCATTACAGCTCACAGCAACCTCCAACTCCTGGGCTCAAGCGAGTCTCCTGCCTCCGCCTCCCAAGTAGCTGGGACCACAGGCGCCCGCCACAACGCCCGGCTATTTTTTTGGTTGCAGCCATCATTGTTGTTTGGCAGGCCAGGGCTGGGGATTCGAACCTGCCACCTTAGGTGTATGTGGCTGGCGCCTTAGCCGCTTGAGCCACAGGCGCCGAGCCAATTATTAGCTTTAAGTGCAGTTTTTTTTGTTTTTTTTTTTTGAGACGAGTCTCACTATGTTGCCCTTGGTACAGGGCTGTAGTGTCACAGCTCACAGCAATCTTTAACTCCTGGGCTTAAGCAATTCTCTTGCCTTAGTCTCCCATGTAGCTGGGACTACAGGTGCCTGCCACAACACTTGGCTATTTTTGTTGTTGTTGCAGTTGTCATTGTTGTTTAGCAAGCTGGGGCTGGTTTTGAACCCGCCAGCCTTGGTGTATGTGGCTGGCATCCTAACAAATGAATATAGAAATCAGTGGCTAGAGACCAATCGTCAGTTTCAGGATTTATTTTAAAAGTGCTTATACTCTATTTGATATTGCTGTTAGGAATTGTGATTTGTTCTCTAAATTATTACTCTTTCAAAATATTAAATATAAACAGCTAAATAATCAAGACATAGAAAACCTGAATCTTCAAATAACAATCTCAAGTTCTTCAATGGGAGGACTAAGAATTTAATGAGAACAGATTAAATGAAGTAGGAAAACCTGAGAATCACTATAAAAATGACCTTTAATTTCTACTAAAATGAGGAAATATGCTGCAGTACCATTATGAGAGATTTGCTGTAGATATAAATTTTTATAACTATTGAACCAATTGCTTACAGAGGCTTTAGATTCTTTTCTAGAAAATTCATTTGGGTTAAAGAGTACAATGATCTCAACCTTCCTTCTAGGCTTAATGGTTCTCTCAAAGATATTTAGTTTTCAGCATTTTGAAACATCATCTCTGCAATAAATTGTTGTGTGCCCTTTAATATATTTTCATGTAACTTAATGTTTAGATTGTTAATATAGGTAGAATTACAATTTTCAAGCTTAAAGAAAATTTTGGGCCAGGCACAGTGGTTCACGCCTATACTTCCACTTTTGATGCTGAGGCAAGAGGAAGTCAGGAGTTCAAGACCAGCCTGGGCAACAAAATGAGATCCATCTCTATGGAAAGTAAAAAAAAAATTAGCCAGGTGTGGTGGTGCACACCTGTGATCCTAGTTACTTGGAAGGGTGAGGAAGGAGGACCTCTGGAGTCCAGGAATTGAGGCTGCAGTGAGCTGATGCCTGAGCAATGAAAACAGGGCAGGACCCTGCCTGTTAAAAAAAAGAAGAAAAAGAAAAAAAGAATTGGAGAGGGATTTATGTGGTTTGTAAATTGTTTTACTTCTAATTTACAGGGTGCTGGTGTTGAACTGTATCCTGGGAGCATAGCCATTTTGGAAAGAAATGAAATTCACCACTGTAATAACCTCAGAACTAGTGACAGTTCAAAAAGCACCTTAGGTGGAGTTAATATGAAGGTATTCTCTTATTTCTTAATGTAGAATTATTACATAAGTATTGTAAGTAATTATTAGTTAAGCATTAAAATATTAGTTACAGCCTAAACATTTAGCTTCATGTTACTGATTTGGTGAAGAACAGTACAAGTCATAATTAAAATATAGTTAAATGAGGACTGATGGGAAACAAGTTTAGCCTTATAATTTAATAATTATTCAAGATTTTCAATTTAAAACTTTTGGCAAATAATTTCAAACTTGAAAAGTGTATAGGATTTGCTCTTTGCTCTAAAAATATTTTAGATTTTACATTGATCTGATCTGTAATCTATTTAGAAGGTAAAG